AGGGCTCGTAGGGCTCGTAGGGCTCGTAGGGGCTCATAGGGCTCATAGGGCTCATAGGGCTCGTAGGGCTCATAGGGCTCATAAGGCGTAGAAGTCTCAGAGGCTCGCAGGCGACATCGGGCCCATAGGGCTCGTAGGGCTCGTGCGGCTCGCACGGCCCATGGAGCTCGAAAGGCTCGTGGGGTTCGAAAGGAGAATTAGGCGCATGGGGCTCATAGGGCTCATAAGGGGCCATGGGGCTCATGGGGCTCATTGTGGCCATTCGGTCTCATAGGGGCTACGGGGCTCGCAGGACTGAGGATGTCGATGTGGTCGCACGGTCCCACGGGTTCATTGGGCTCATGCGGTCAAATTCTGCCGCGCCCACTGGACATGTGGGAGCGAAGACGCCAGTGGGCTTATGGGGCACCATGAGGAACCACAGGGCTCATAGAGCTCACATGACCGATGGCGCTGATGTGGCTCATAGGTGTTAAAGGGGTCTCAGGGATCATAGGGCTCTTGGAGCTCGTGGGTGTGTGTTGGGCTCGTAGGGGTCAGCGGGGTCACAGGGCTCATAGAGGTCGTAGGGCGTTTGGGGCCTATAGAGCTCGTAGGGCTCACAGGGCTCATGAGGCTCGCAGGGCTCTTAGGCAAGAGGCCTTTTTGGGCTCATAGGGCTCACGGGGCACCATGGTGCACCATATTTAAGGCTCATAGTGATCATAGGGCCGATAGGGGTGATCTGGCTGATAAGTTTTATAGGGGTCATAGGGCTCAGAGGGTTCGTAAAACTCTGAGGCATTAGGGCTCAGAGGGCTCGTAGGGCTCATGGCCGATAGGGCTGATGTGGCTGATAGGGGCCATTGTGATGTAGGGGTCATAGGGCTCATAGGGGCTCTTATGGCTCTGAGGTATCAGGGCTCATAAAGCTCCTGTGGCTCATGGGGCTCATGTGGCTCGTAGGACTGAGGGGCTCATAGGCCTAGTAGAGGTTACAGGGATCGTGAAACTCATGGAGCTCGTAGGGCTCACGCGGGTCGTAGTGTTCATTGAGCTCGCAGGGCTTATAGGGCTCGTGGGACTCATGCGGCTTATAGGGTTCACAGGGGTGACCAGGGTCATGGGGCTCGTAGGGGTCATGGGGCTCAGGTGGAACCATAGGGCACCATAGGGCTCATAAAGCTCACAGGGGACGCTTTCAGAAAGGGAGCAGTGGTACCGCAGGGCTGCTTCGCATTCCTCATGGCCATTCCGGCGTACGCCTCAAGAACGAAGGTGACGCCCTGCGTCACACGCAGCTGCATGGGGATGTTGTCTCTTGGAGGTGTCTGCGGTGCGTCTTGGGGGCATCTCGAAGCCTCTTGTGGGCTTCTCGGGGGCTTCTGGGAACTTCTTGGCAACGTCCTGGAGGCCTCTGGGGGGGTCTTGGGGGCAGGATGAAAGCCACAGCCTTGAGATTAAGGTCGAACGACCCTCTCTGGAAGCTTTGTGGGGCTCACTTGGGGCCCTGTTTGGACTCTCTTTGGCTGTCTTGGGCGTATCTGCGGCTGTCTCGGGGCTCTCATGGGCTGTCTTTGGGGCCTTTGGAGCCGTCTTGGGAACTGTCTGGCGCCTCTTGGGCTGTCCTGGGCGTCGTGGAAGCCCAGAGCACGAATGTAGTGGAAATGGTATTTCTCCTTGAGGATGTTGATGATTTTAGTGTCCTGGGGCCGCATTGAGGGAACCCTGGGAGCGTTCTTGAGCCGTCTTGGGGGCCTCCAGGGCCGTCCTGAGACGAGCTTCAGTCGTTTGGGTGTTCCGCGGGGCCGTCTGGAACGCGATCCTGAGCGCGCTCGGGCGGCTTGGGATGGCCAGGAAGGGCCCCTGGAACCGAAAAACGGAATGTCTGCCCGATGGGACCGCCCAGGGCCAAACTTATGTATGGGGAGGGGGTTCACACGGGGTTTTCCGTATAAGAATATCCGAAGAAGAATATACATATAGAGAGAGAGATCCGCCAACGTGCCTTCAGCACGTAGTGGAATGCCCCAAGGGTCACGCAGCCCTGAGATGTAAAGTGGTTGCAAGGTTCTTAGGGGCCCGGGTCCTGGTTTTCAAGCTGCTCCTGGATGCTCTTGGGAGCTCTCGGAACCCCTCGAGTGTCTCAAGAACCGCCTCAGATGGCCCAAAGGGGCCCCGGAGCGGTGCAAGACAGCTTCAAGACGGCCAAATGTGGCCGCAAGACTGCCCAAGGAGCCCACTAGGTGCCCCAAGCGAGCCCCAAGAGCACTCCCACAAGGGCCCAGAAAGGCAAACACTGTCCCACTCCATCCGGTAAATATACATATTCAGCATATTCGCTTCTGGGGCATTCATAGCGTCCAAGACGGCCCAGGATCAAGATGCCGCCCAAGATGGCCCAAGAGGACCCCAAGAGAGCCCCAAGAGGGGAGACTCGAGCTAGCGTTTCGCGCTCTCCGCCCCAAGATGACCCCCGAGATCGCCAGCAGAGCCCCAAGGGACCCCCTGAAGCCCCAGGAGACCTCCAAGAGGCCCAAGTCAGGCCCAAGGAAGCCCGCAAGAGGCCCCGAGAGACCCCAAGACACATCCAAAATCACCTCGAAGGGGCGCTCGAGAGATCTCCCAAGAGATCCCCGCAGGCATCCAAGTGGCTTCTGACATACAACGTAGGCGTGGTGGCAGGAGCGGCCGCAGACCACAAGATCCGTCGCCCCTGTTGGCTTGCCACAAGGGTGCACGGCGTGCCAGACGTTAGCAGATAGTTGTTGGTTATTGTTACAATCTCTAGTGGGCATTCGGCCCAACCCGCCGGCCACCAGGAAGGACGCGCAAAAACGCGCAACGACGCGCAAGGAAGGGGGGGAACCAAATTCGTCTCCACGATCCTCCAGAGAGATCCAGATGGCACAGAGGTGCCTCCAAGACGACCCGAGGTGCACCCAGGATGGCCCAAGATGGCCACAGGGTGCCAGAGGGTTCCAAGAGGACCTCCAGGAGGCCAAAGTCGTAGATGGTTGTTGGCTGCTTCGATTTTCTCCATCCAAAACCATAGTGTGCCCTCGGCCGATCCCGCCGGCCACCCAGAAGGACCAGTACTCCAGATTTCGTAATAAACGGACGGGGGTCTGGACCCTCCAAGACAAGCCATTTCAGACCTCCCCCGTGGGAGAACCCTCCAAAACATCGTCCCCAGACCCCCCAGGCCCTCCAAGATAGCCTGGAAGAGACCCCCCCCGAAATGAGACCCCCTCCCTGTATTACGAAATCTGGAGTAAACGTCCCAGTTCATCGGCCCTCCCGTTCCAGACGGCCCCAAGATGGCCTCCAAAGCGCGACGTAAGGACACGTTAAACCTCCCAGGTCGTCGGTCTTCCCGCTTCGAGACGGCCAGTGGCTGAAGGTGGCCTCCACGCTACCTCCAAGAAGTCGACGATGGCCCCCAGAGAGCCCAAGATGGCCGCAAGATGTCTCCAAGACGGCCCGAGAGGCACCCAAGAGGCCTCCGAGACAGCCTCCAGGAAAACTCGAAGAGATCTCTCCTCATCTTATTTGTTCTCCCCCACATGTTCCCCGAACCGTTTCCAAAACGGCTGGGGAAATATGTGATCCGATAGCTTGGCCGAGCTCTGGCCAGAACGTTCGGCCACATAGGCGCTTCCAAAAGGCAGGTGGCGGCGGTGATTCGCCGTAGGCGTCTCCGATCTGCCGCCCCCTTGTGGTCTTGCCGCAGGGGTGCACGGCGTGATGGACGTTCAGTAGCTTGGGATGTTCAAAAGGTTCCCAGGGTACCTTCGGCCGATCCCGCTGGCCACCCAGAAGGACCCACAACACCACCGAGAATGCCCAGAACTTGTTTTGTGTGTCCCTCCGGAACGGCTCCGAGATGGCCTCAAGACAACGAAGATGGCCTCCGGAACGGCCAAGGTGACCAACAGGAGAGCCCGAGATGGCCGCGACGGCCCACGAGGCCCCGCGAGGCAGCCCCCAAAAGGCCCCCGGACGGCCCGGGAGGCCTCTGGGGCGCCCAAGAGATGGCCTCCGAGACGGCCCCGAAGCGCCCCCAGCGGGGCCAAAGAGGTCGGCCCAGAGTGAAGGGGCTCTGGGACACATAAATAAATACACACAAATAAAAATATCCCCCATATTGTCCTATATTTTCTGGGTTTTTGTCTTCCCCCCCACTTCCAATATTTTCCTATATTTTCTGGGAAATCGACGATTAATTGTGTCTATGTTTTTTTCCCTCCTGACAAGAGATGGCCTCCGAGACGGCCCCAGGAAGCTCCCAGGGCCCCACGAGGCTCTCAAGAGGCCTCCTCCTCCTCCTCCTCCTCCTCCTCACTCCTCCTCCTCCTCCCCTCCTCCTCCTCCTCCTCCTCTCCTCCTCCTCCTCCTCCTCCTCCTCCTCCTCCTCTCCTCCTCCTCCTCCTCCTCCTCCTCCTCCTCCTCCTCCTCCTCCTCCTCCCCTCCTCCTCCCTCCTCCCTCCTCCTCCCTTCCCCTCCCTCCCTCTCTCGCCGACGCGCTCCCCGCGCGCGTGCTGCCTGCCACCCCCGTGGCGCACGGCGTGCCACAGGGAGGCAGGTCTGGCCCTCTCTGGAGCTCCTGGGCGAGGCCTCCAAGATAGCCCCTTCATGACGGTCCAAGGGGCCCCCAAGGCGGCCCCAAGAGGGCCCCAAGACAGCCCGGGACGCCTCCAAGGAAAAATTGCCTCCAAGACGACCCTGAAGCACCCCAGGAAGGACCCAGGTCGGCCCCGAGAGGCCCCCAAGACGGTTTCCGACCGCATCACACGGGCCAGGAACGACCTCAGACGGCCAAAGAGGCCCGCAAGAGACCTCCAAAGGTGCCCAAGAGGCCAGCCAGGAAGATCCCAGGAGGCCCCAAAGGGCCCCCCACGAGGCTCATAAGAGGCCTCCTCCTCCTCATCCCCCTCATCCTCCTCCTCCTCCTCCTCCTCCTCCTCCTCCTCCTCCTTCTCCATCTCCTCCTCCTCCTCCTCCTCCTCCTCTTCTTTCTCCCCCACGTGGTCCCCGAAGGGCGAAGGGTTGCAACGGCTGGGGGAACAAACGTTCGGCCACATGGGCGTTTCCAAAAGGGAGGGGGAAGCGGTGATTCGCCATAGGCCCTAGCAACTGCGGCACCTTCGTACCACAAGTTGTGACCTTGTAGATCCCGCAGGCTCCGACCGAGCATGCAAACCTGCGGCTGTAAGCGCATGTGTCCTGGCCTGGTGACCTTCTACGCCATGCCGGCGGCGTACGCGTGCTCCTTGGACCGGGTCCAGCGGCACAGGTGGCAACGGTCGCAGAGGTGCCCTACCTTACAACCGTTCGCCTTGCCCGCGTACTTGCACGCACGCCCACAGCCGTGAGGGTGACCGACGGAGCCCACCGAGGGGAAAGGGCTGACGGAAGCCGTGACTGGCACGGCCTCGGCGCTGGCAGCGGGTGCCGTGGCGATGACTCCATCAAGCGCCACGAGGCTTGCCGCTTCGGGCCGCACGTGCACGTACGCCGGCTCCTCCCGGGAGACGGCCGGCCGTGAGGGCGGAGGCTGAGGAGCCGCTCCCGTCCGCCACGTGGCCGGCCTCGGGTGGGTGGCGACGGGCGGCGGCGGCGGTGGCGGCGCGTGCTCCACGGCACGCCAAGGCGTTTTGCCGTGGCGGTGCCAGTGGCACAGGTGGCAGCGATGGCAGGAGGCCCCCATCAGGCAGCCCGTCTTGCGCTTCTGGTACTTGCAGGGCTCGCTGCAGGAGTAGGGGTGCCCCAGGGTCCCGACGGAGACGACCTCGCGGGCAGCCGATGGTCCTTCGCCCAGGCCCGGCGGAGCTCCCAGACTTGCCTTGTGCGGCTGGACCTCTGCTGGTTGCGGTAGCAAGCTGCCCAGAGACAAGATGGCGGGCTGCGGCAGCTTGCCTGGCGGCTCCACCGCAGAGATCGCAAGCCTCAAGCCCGAGTGCTCGGTCTCCCCGCTGAGCCTCTTGCGGCCATGCCCCGCCTCCTCCTGCTGCTGCTCCTGGATGTGCTGCAGTTTGCTGCTGACGCCCTCGCACAGCTCCTGGAACAAGCCACGGCCGGCGAGCGCCGCGTAGGTCGGGGTCACGCGCCCGCTCCCGAGGCCGTCGCCCTCTGCGAATTTGGGGCACGCTGGCGGGTCTGGCGTGAGGATGCCCTTGGGGTCGCTCTCGGGCAGACGCATCTTGCGCAGACCACCACGACCGGTAGGAGTCATCATTGAAATCGACGCACCCACGCGGAGCTCCCGAGCGGAGGTAGTTCACAACGCCTGGTCTGTTGTCGGCTTCGACCAAACTGGCGTGAGCCAACACTGCTACGGATCAATCCAACATTACAGCAAGCTTGGTGACCCTCCCCTCTGCCTCCTCTTCTTCCTCCTCCCCCTGGTCGAAGGGGAACGAGGCAAGGGCTGCCCTGTAAAGTCGCTCATCCTGGACTATAAGGGATGGCTGTACCTGCCAGACCACCCCAACCTGACCCGAAGGCTCAAATTTCGGGTCGGGGGGGTGCGGTCGAAATCTAAAGTAGGGACGGGCGGTGAAGACGCAAGGGCCTTGGACGCCAAAGTTGGCACTTTTTGGGCGGCGGACTGCCAACACCCTGAAGGGCTGGCCGGTGCAAAACTGCGAAGGACAGAGGCAAGGACGCAAGGGCACCCTAAGGACACCCGTGCGCCCTTACCATGAGCCTTGATTGTACCGGTTCCACGTGGCTGTTCTTGTTCACATGTTCCCCGACGTCCCCCCACCGGGAATGGGGGACAGACTGTCGGGAGCGGCAAAGAGGGGGGTGTCCAAGAGGGGGGGGTGCAAATCATGACCGGCGGCATGTGCGCGGCCCAGCGGGTGGGCCAGGGACGTAATGAAACAAGAAGAGGCGCCATGAAATCTGCGGAAATATCATGGCCCCCGCCATGATATCCACCCCCCCCTAGTCATCACCCCCCTCTTTTCCGCCCCCGAGACTGGGGCCTTCCAACTGGGTTGGGGTGGCTTGGTGGGTGGTGACCGTCGGAGATCTGAGGCGAGGAGCCTCAGATCGGCGAGGCACTCCAATTAGGATCGGCGGCGAGCCCCGAGGGAAAGTCCCATGGGGCGCCTCCTCCTCCTCCTCCTCCTCCGCCTCCTCCCCTTCCTCCCCCTCCTCCTCCTCCTCCTCCTCCCCCTCCCCCTCCTCCTCCTCCTCCTCCTCCTCCTCCTCCTCCTCCCCCTCCTCCTCCTCCTCCTCCTCCTTCTCCTCCTCATCGGGCCTTCTCGGCAGGCCCGGAAGCCCTCCGGCCTCCTGGGGCGCTCTCTAAGCCATCTCCGAGGGCAGACCCGGCTCGGAGAGCCGGAGGGCCTCCCCAGGAAGCCCCGCCGCCGTCTGAGAGGGCCCGCCCCCTCTCACTCCCCTCGTCACACAGGCAAGAGCGATCCCAGGCAGGAGTGACCTGTGGTGCGCGGCTTCAGGGAGCCGCGGGGAGGCCAAGTCCCGGCGCGCCAGCCGGTGCTTTATCGCACCGTATCCAAGGATCGAGGGACCCCAAGGGGCCCGCACCAGGTCGCTCCGGCGAAGGGTCGCTCTTGCGCGCAGCCGACCTGAGAAGGCCTGTCCCCCGGGGGCAGCTTCTCAGAAGGCGCCGGACTGCCTCTGAGGAGCCCTGCCGCCTTCTGAGAAGGTCTGCCCCATCTCACGTTACCATGAAGGACACGGAGCACAAGGATCGAACGCCTTGACAGAGAGGGAGGGTGGAGCATCGAGGTTCGAGGTTCGAGGTTCAGGGTTGGGCGAGAGGAGGAGGGAGTGAAGTTGAAATGGAGGCATCGGCTCCTGTGGGAAGCGGGTCCTGGACCCCAGGGCCTTCCCCGAGGGCCAGCTCTTCACCCGCGGCACGAGGAGGGCCCTGAACAGCCCCAATAACAGCGAGAAAAACTCGGGTCTCGTCACCTTCATGGCGATCCTTCCCCCCACCCACCCCTTGAGATCCGACGTTGCTAAACAAAAAATGCAACATCGCGAAAAATCACGACCAGAGCCCTGGACCCCATGTTTCTGCGCCATGTTTCGAGCCAGATCGATATGGGCCTGAAGCTGGGCGAAAACGCCCGTTGCAAAAAAATGCAACGCCCGGATCTGACGGCTGGGCGGACCTTACGCGAAAAATCAAATCATTGGACCCCAAAGCGGCGCAAAACCTCAGAACCCGGGAAACCAGAAACGGCGTTAAACCTTCATGGCGAGCTCTTCCCCCCTGGACGAAGCCGCCGATTGGCGGCGCGCACCAATGAGGTAGGAGGAGGGGGGAAGGCTTCTGAGAAGCAGGGGTGCCTTTAAGAAGGCTTCCCCCCTCCCCCTTGCCCCCCTCATTCGGCTACACGCATGAGTGACCCTGGGTAAGAAGGACCTTTGTTGCGCTGTTTTTACGGAACCGCGGAGGAACCAAGCACAAGCGCGCAAGACGCTACTATCGCATCGCATTCGGCGATCGGGGGACCCCCATGGGCCCGCACCACAGGTCACTCCGGCGAAAGCCCACCTTTGGGTGCGGTCGACCTCTGCGTGTGGCCGAGCCGGCCCTGCTACTCCTCCTCCTCTTCTTCCCTCCCTCCCTCCCTCCTCTCCCTCCCTCCTTTCTCCCTCCCTCCTCTCCCTCCCTCCCTCCCTCACTCCCTCCTCCTCCTCTCCCTCTCTCCCTCCCTCCCTCCCTCCTCTCCCTCCCTCCCTCCCTCCCTCCCTCCTCCTCCTCTTCCCTCCCTCTCTCCCTCCCTCCCTCCTCTCCCCGCCGCCCCCCCCCTGGCGCTCCGAGAGGGCGGGGCGTCCTTCTCCTCGGCCTGGCACGGCGCGGCGGCGCCCGCCGGCCCGGGCGCGGCCTCCGCGGCGGGCGCGGCCTCCTGCGGCCTGCCGGCGGGCTGCGGTCGCCGCCGCCGCCCCCGCTGCGGCCGCCCGCCCCTCGTCGTCGTCGGCGTCGTCGGCGTCGTCGGCGTCGTAGTCGGCGGCGGCCTCGTCGGCGTCGTCGGCGTCGTAGTTAGGAGGCGGCCTCGTCGGCGTCGTCATTGGCGGCGGCGTCGTCGGTGTCCCCAAGTAAATCGCGAGGAAGGCCACGGCGGGAGCGCGATTCCAGAGTGTCGAGGGCACGGCGCTTGGATAAATTGCACAGAAATCCCACGCGGGAACGCGATTCCTCTAGAGACCATGTCTTTATGATTCGCCATAACGCCCGTTACCAGCGGCGCCCCCCCCCCCGGTAACGTCACGATTCGTGCCGGCGGCGTCTGGGAACTTGGAAAAGTGCCACGCTGCGAGGTCCAACATACAGACGGGAAAAGCAATGGCACTAGCTGCTGCCATGACTATTTCTACGACTACGACTACGACTACGACTACGACTACGACTACGACTACGACTACGACTACTACTACTACTACTACTACTACTACTACTACTACTACTACTACGACTACTACTACTACGGCAACTACTACTACGACCACTACTACTACGATGACTACTACTAATACTACGTCTACTGCTACTACTACTACTACCACTGCTGCTACTACTA